AAGACATGAGAAAAACATTGTTTTACAAATCTTAAGACTTAAATAAAAAAAAATTATATATTTTGTGTATGAAAGCATTGTAATGTTTACTGATAAACTGCCAAATTTCATTAACATTCGCTTACTAATTTAAAAGTTATAGCATAAAAACTATAACAAGCACAAAATAGCTACGAGGTCAGTCCCAGGGAGCGAGCTCGGGTTGAAAGAGTTAATCTAGATTATTTGAAATTTTTCTTGGCCATTTTCATGAAAAAAACTTTCCCCACTTTTAAAGTGGGAGGTTAAGTCTTCAGAAGCTTTATTGATAACTGAATGGACCAGATAATTTTCCATAACATATAATTGTGGCTTACTGAATCCTGAATATCAGGTCACCATGGTGCCTAAAAAAAGGAATTTGGTATATGTAAGATTTTATTGAGTTTTTCATTAAAAAAAGATGTTTCTTATATACAATAATATTTCCAACATTATAAGTACAAAATTTGAGTTTCAAAGAAAGTACTTTAAGTCCAACCTGACATAATTTTGAACAGATTTTTAGATTTCTGGTGTTTGACTTCCAAGGTTGTACAGTTGCTTTCTTCAAAGACTAGTATACTAGATATGGATGTCAAACTTTTAATTTCTGACATAGTATGTTGAATCTTTAAATTTAACAATCAGAATGAGGTGTGATAAATAAGAGCTATTGGTAGTGATATTATATTTTCAATAAACAGTAACAAGATTATTATTTTATGTTTTAAAACAAAATTAAAATAAGGAAACGAGGCTTTTGATTAAATGATGATGTTACGTATCAGTTAAGGTAGCATCTCATTAAACAGACCTTTTCTGACAGCTTGTGCATGGGCCACAGCTATAGAACTAATCTTGCATGTTTATCAGAGTAAACTTAAGTTGAGTATAATGGTAATTTTTTCCAAATAAAATTGTTTTTTTTGTCATTGTATTTGGTTTCATCTTGGTTTTATGCTAATTAAATCTAGGTGCCAGATCAGGGTTATGTTCTAAGAAACAACGAAATAAAAGTGATGACTATCAAAATACATGTTTTTATTTTGATATAAGAACAGAATTATGTTTTCAGAAACAAAAATTAACATATAAGTGATTATTATCTAGATACTAGTTTTTTTCACTATCTCTGTTTTTTATGGTAGACCCATGCTAGTTTCTTATGTCAATTTTGAAAATAAGTAACAATTGTTGTTAAGAGCTTGAATAAGCTTATATATATTGTATAATTATAATTTTCTTATTCTAACGTACTGCACATATTGAATTCTGAGGACCTAAGCTTGTAATATTTCAGTATTTTTTAATAACCTATGAGTGATAGCAAAGGAGAATATTTTATAATATGTCAACTACATTATGTGTGCTATGTTCAGTGTTGATGAGACCTTCTAAGTAATATATTATATATATATATATATAACAGATTATTGTTACAAAACTCAAGTTGGCTAAAAAGAAACTTTATGCCAAAAGTTTCTGAACATTTCCTATTTGGTGAGTTGCTAATGTCAAGACCTTGAAGGTGCAGTTTTGTTTTTAAAATATTCAATAATTTCCCTATTGATCTTTTCTAATCAAATGACATGTTTTACTATCATGGATAACACTGTTAATGTTTTTATTTAAAACATATCACAATTGCAATTAGAAATCATTAAGTAGCCACTTTGCCAATTTATTGAACACCCATAAAAATAAGAAGTAAGGGTTTAAATCATCAGAATATTTTGCAGTTGCCTACCCTAATCACTAAGCATAACTAAAGATTACCTGATGTCTTACAGTTTTCAAAAGATGTAATTTAACATACAAACTCTTTTTGCTTTCCCACAAAACCATGAACTGTTGTTCAAATCACTCTATATACTTTACTGTGATGTGAAGAGTGCAATTCTTGCTCTGTCCGATCATATTTAAACTTACTTTATAGCTGTTTTCAAATCTGTTTCATTAATAAATGATCAAATCACTTGTTATGAAATCGTAGAAATCAACCAGAAAAAGACAAGGAAAATGAACAATATATTGTCAAAAGGTGATAGGCTTTTAGCAAAAATAAAGGTATTCTTTGTGATAGGTAGAGAAATACTAGAAAACTTGAAAAGTGTGTTATTTACAGATGAAACCCGTCAGAGCTGTGCAGAAATGAATATTCACATTTTTTGTCATTTTTAAATAATTGTAAGAAGTTGAGAAATATCAGTTCCGATAGAGTACATTACCTCATCTCTCATAAATAGCTATTCATGTTCAGTGCTGCCCTCTATATGAAATTTTTTTTGCATTCCACAAACCTTGAGCTCCCATGTACCTTATAATCAACTGATTCAATTGCATCTCGCATGTAATTCATTATGCATAACCCTACACCAATAAGAGTGCGACACACACTCTTGATGCATATGACTCCCTCTATACAATTCTACCAAATTATCTCTTCTTGTTTGGCAGTACTCGTGTCAAGAAGTTGTTGTTGTGATCTTCGAATTTGTTCAACTTTGTAATTTTTTTTTGTTATTATTCCTAAATGGATTTTTTTTTCAACAGTTAATGACTTTTTTTTCAGATAACTTATCTTTCCAGTTTTTTCATCAAAAAGTTGTGTTTGATTTTCACACACAATGAATTCTGAAATTCAAGTTACCTTCTTCAAGCACACTTATACAAGCTACAGGTGGGGGGTGAGTTGTCTTTGGATTTATTGGCTATCATCCACCATGAGATTGATCATTATAGGTATCAACGTGCTTCTCATTATTTTGCCCTTACTCCTCCTGAACATGCTGAACCTGTTCAGATCGACAACGATTTTGACAGCCTTTTTCATCCACTTGATTTTGCTGTGTCTTCTTATGCCCCTATTGTGGAATCAGCTAAACCTAATATGACTTTTTTATGACATGGTTTCTCAGGTATGTTCTGTTTTATCCATTTCCCCGGTTTTGTATGATCCCCGTCCTTCTTTGTTCCATAATATTTGTTTTCCCCCCTTTTTCCGATATTAGGGTTCATGCTGAGCATTTTGTTTCTCAGATGGTTGAGGGTGCCAACATGCCTCACCCTCCATGTGCTTTGGATCAGTTTGCCTTGGCCTACCATAAGGCTGAATGTTTGTTTCTCGATTCTCAGTAGTTAGAATTGACTTTGCCCATTTTGGGGGGTGGACCCTGATCATACTGTTCATTTATTCCACTCCCAATTTTCTTGCCTTCGTCTTACCCTATTGACTCTTCTATGGCATTTCTCTACTATCCATCTCCTTTCTGAGGTGATCCACAGAGATCCTGAGGGTCTTTCGATGGATTGCCTCTCCCTGATTACCTTCACATTGGCACGTTTGTCTTCTTTGGCTTTAACCTTACACACGTGGTTTCTCTGTTGTTGGAATCTCCTGGGGAGGGATACAACCTGATTGATTTGTCCCCCTCAATCTGTCTTTTCTCATCCACAGGTGGGCTTTTTCTCCGGGTTTGTGGATGACCAAGGTAGACGCTATAAATGCTTACCTGCATTTACCAAAGTGCCAACTTTGGTTCATTCATTACGGGGTTGTGTGTCAATTTTGCACTCTGCCCTTCAGGCTTGCTTCAACTCCATATATCTTTTATTGGGTGGTCAAGGCATTTGGCCGACATTTATCTGCTCTGGGGTTGCATTTCCATCATTCCTTATACCTACCCAATATCTTGTTCATTTGGGTGTTTTTTCAACACTCATTTCGGTTGGACCCAACCTTCTCCTCTTCGACTTCATTCAATGGAGTCTTCAGTTCTCCATGCCCTTACTGCTCACTCTCTTACAACTCATGAAGTTCTATTGCTTTTGGTGATGTGGTCTTCCATGGAAGACCTTATCCCCTTGGGTCAAGCACATCTATTGGAGATTCCAACTTCTCTTCCTCCTTCCCTTGTAGATGATCTGCATTGGTGGTTGAACAAGGCTCACATGTCAGTGGGTGTTCCACTTCCTCCCCTCATCTGGATTTACATATCTTCAAGTATGCTTCCTTTCAGGGCTGGGGGGATCAGCAGGAAGCTTCAGGTCGGTGGTCTTTGGCCGAAATATCTTTCCATATCAACATCCTGGAGCTGGTAGCTGTACATCATGCCTTGGATCATTTTCTTCATCTTGACAGAAATCATCTGGTCATGATCTATTCTGACAGTTCTACAGTGGTGGCTTTTCTCAATCACCAAGGCTGCACCCATTATCATTCCCTTTGTGATCGGATCTTGGATCACATTTTTTTCGGACTCCCATATTCGGTATTCCTATCATTGTATGTCATATTCCAAGTGCATTCAGTCTTGTTGCAGATCGGCTTTCCCATCCAAAGTTTATTTGACGGACTGGTCTCTCAATTCTCTTGTTTTCCAGTGGCTATACCCTCAGTGGGGTACTCTTCACCTTGATGTGTTTGCCACATCCCTCAATACCAAATGACCTCTTTTTTTGGTCTCCGATTCCTCATCTATTTGCTCTGGCTGTTGATGCTTTCAGTCTAGATTGGACCAGTAAGTACCTGTATGTTTATCCTTCCATCTATCTTCTTCACAGGGTAATCTCGATCTTCCATGCCACTTTGTGTCAAGTCTTTCTGATTGCTCCTTACTGGCTGGCACAACCATGGTTCCCACAGCTGCTCTGCCTCTTCCTCTGTCACCAGCATTTCCTCCAGCCCTTCATATTCTCTGTCTTCACATCTGGATTTATCAGGACCTTGGTGATGAGATCCAGTTTATTCTGGTGTATCACTTTTTTTTCGTAGCTTGTTTCATTTGCTCCTCCTCTAGAAATGTTTATCAATGTGAATGGAATGTTTCTGTCATTGTTTGTTGGGTCAGGTGTTTTCACCTGCTAGACCCACTTTTTCTCATATTATGGATTTCCTCACGTGTTTTTTTAATCAAGGGTCTTCTGTCTACTTGATCGTGGGTTATTTGGTTGCCTTATTACACACTTTTCATTTTTCCCAGTACTGTAACGTTTTTACCTCTCCTACCCTTTCCCTCTTGTTGCATTCCTTCTGGATTAGTCGTCCATTTAGGCATGCTTTCCTTACAGATTGGGATGTTAATGTGATTCTTCACTGCCTCACTTTACTTCTGTTTGAACCTCTGTCCTTGTGCTTGATTTTTCACCATTGGTCTACGTTTCACATATTCTGTTATCCAATGATCAAAATGACTTTTAAATTGATTGTCACAAAAATAACCAAATAATCAAACTGATTTATTACCATTATATTTGCTTGTTTCTTAATTAAGCATAAAGGTACATACTGGACTGTCTGTGCTCTGCTAAACAGTATTTTCTTGTGGAATAACTTATTTATTTGAATGTAATAGTTTAATTAGCCCAACGATTAATCAACAAATTATACTAATTGCTCATTTCTAGTTTTACGAGTATTTTCTTGCTGAAAGCTTTTGAGGTTTTGGTTATATAAATATTTTGGTTTAAATGTCAGTTAAAAAACTTTAAAAGCTGGTACGTGTATGTATATAAATATGTGTATATTCACTGGTTAGCATTTCAGAATATATTAATATTGTTGTATCATTTTACTGTTGCATATGTTACTCCCTTGTTAGTAAAGATTTATACAAAAGTTTTTATGCTTTCTAGGGATACCAGTTCTCCAACTTCTCTCCTTTTGAACATACCTCGAAATAGACGTTTCAGTGCTAGTTCTTCTCCTGGTCAGTGTAGCCCATCATCAAACTCACCCTCGGTAATTTTTAGTTAAAATTGCAATATTTTGTTTGTTGTCCTTTTATGTATCATGCCTAACTCTTCAAATATCAATATGCATATTTGTGATGCTAAAGTAAAGAATGACTAGGTGAGGATGCCATTATTTTTTTCTTAGCCTTCTATGACTTACAATTCTTGGTTATGAAAATTATGTGTATCACAAAAACAGTGAATCCTATTTTAATGTTAACTATCAACCTGAATTGTAGTGTAATGTCTCTTAAAAACTTAAAAATACATGTTTATCTAAAAATAAATTGCATATTGCAAACTTTTGTATGCACTCCATGTTTTAGACTAATATTTTGAGCCTTATGGGGTAATTAATTGTACCTTGCATTTTTTATAGTTATTTATAATTTGCTTTCAGTCCTTAGTTCCATCATTTGTGCCCTCTCGGGTTATTCAGCTAAAGCATGAAGAAGGAATGGATGTGATGTATAGAGAAGCTTCACATGAAAAGTAAGATTCTTGTAATGTTACAGTAGTACCTTCCACAATACCAGAGATTAACTAAAGTAACAGTATGAATATTAACTGTCTTAACACGTGCTCGGCCAATTTGACCGACCAGGTGACCTCTTTTGTACTCGTTCAAAGTCCTTGTAGATTTCATATTACTAAATTTTAATATAGTGTGTATATCTTCATGAAATTTGACAGTATTTCAGTAAATATCGTTTTTCACGTACAAAAAAATCATATTTTTAATGAAGTATTTTTAATAAACTAAAAATAGATTTGTCCTTGAGTATTTCAAGTATTTGTTTTGAATAGTCTGTGTGCAAAGCGATTTTCATGTTAAGATTAAAAACACTTTTCATCTCAAAAATCTCAAATTTCATTTGTGTAATCTCTAAAATTTCCAAAATACATTTCAAATGTTTGTTTTCGGTTAAACTTTATATTTTATTTGTAATTTTCTCTACCCTAACTCTACACAAGGTTGGTCAATTTGACTGACCTCGTAACCACCAAAAAAAAAAATCAAAATATAATCTAAATTACGTTCTTTTTCTTTCTAGAATGACTTCAAATGTAACATAAAACTGCATTATTTTATCCTAAGTAGCTTTAAACTTGTAACAGTATGCATCTATTTATAATTAAATTTTGTATTATGGCCCTGTGAACCATGTCTAAATAGTATTTGCACCATTAGAAGTTGTAAATCACTTGGGGAACATGCAGCTCACGTTGCGCTATCGAATTACATTACCCACGAACTACTCCAAGCTGCTCACGTGCATGCCTTGTGAAATATTTTTATTATATTATTATTATTATTGATTATTTTACCTACTCTAACCTTAACTAACCTAAAGAGATCCCTATTTTTACATTTTAGTTAATTTTATAATAATAATATAAAGAATAAACATGAAAAACAAGAAATAAAGTACTTGCCTGAGTATTCTTTTTTTTTGCTGTTGACTATCAATGATGCTTATCCCTACTTTTTATATACTAATTGTAGTATTGCATTAAATAATTTTTATCTAATTAAATAATGCACCAAAGAACATAGACTAATAACGTGCAAAAAGCAGACAATTTACTCTAATAATTAAAATTTTTCTGGCTTTCTAACTATGCGACAAGAGCTATTACAAATTCATCCAAGCTAGCCATTGTGATTCCCATGGAAGCCAAAGTTGTATTACAAGTGAAATTGATGACTCTCTGTTCAAAATAAAATGTAATATAATACATCATTTGATAGGTGAAAACCTTGGCTTTCTATTGGTTATAGGTAATATATAATTAAATATAAGGGAGAACTATTAACAAATCCTGAAAGAGTGGATGTGACAGGTGGGTGTGGCAGGAGGGATCTGATTTTCTATTTGATAGCTCTGTAACCAAACAAAATTGAAGACTATAAAAATTATAGTCTGTCTGAGCAATCATAATTTTATAGTGAATAATTTATTTTTAATTTCATAGTTACTGGAGGGGTGTTGGATAAAATAGAGAAGTTACCTAGAGAAAATTTGTCATGTGTGTCACACTAGGAGAAATTCAGGATTATTTTAAATATTGCATTATAGAATTATGAACTTAAAACTTGTATACTATTAAAATATGAATTATTAGCTAAGATTTTATGCTATAATAATTGGTATAACATAACAAAAAGTAGTTTAATAAAATTTTGAATGTAAGACACTAAATCCTTGTGTCATGGGCAGTAAAGGATACTGGTTAAACATAGGGTGATTATGAAAAAGAAAATCCATATTTAAAATGATTATATTTTAAGAAGCTACTATTCAAACGTAAGCAAAACTTCACCAAAGACACATTGCCAATCACAAGTTCTGTTCAGGAAAATTTAGGTATGTACCATGTCAAACTTGCCTGAATAAAACATAAAAATGGAATTTGACTTTATAATCACATTATAGATGATGAAACTTTAGCTTTAAGTATTGATAATTGTTTTAAAAAAAATATATGGAAAATTTTTATACAAACAGTGGTAGTTGAAATTGTTATTACAAACATCAGAGAACATACACTGTACCAGAAGTAGTTATGGTAAGCTTGTGTACAGGTGTAAGTTATCCAGTTGATTTTGAAACTAAAAATATTGTTGGGTGTTCATAATTATATTACAAACTTTTGTTTTATAGCTTAGTAATATAGTAATTCTTAGTTTACTGATAGGAACAAAATTGTTTCTCTCTGAGTGAATTTGAGAAATGAAGTTTTATGTACAGTTTCTATTTTTTTTCTTTAGAGAGGTTCAATCCAAGCTTCAGATATCCCAGTCTTGGGAAGATTTGACATTGGTGAGAAAATTGTAATTTTATAAGTTGTAAGGAAACAGTTCCACAGTAAGATGTTTAGTAGACACGGCATTTATGTACTACATATTTTTTTTAGCTATAGCTGTATGTTTCACCTCCTTTCTTAAACTCACTCTTATGTTTATGGAGTATGTCTATAACAAAAAATCTAGTATTTACGTAATCACTATTGTACTTTTTGATTTTTTGCTGTTTTCCTGGTTATATTTTATATTTAAAAATAATGAACAATACAATGTTACTTTTGTGTGTATTTTAATTTAGATAACAACCTTTGTTTGATTGAGGGTTGGTTCCATCAGCAGGGCACAAAATTTTGCTTGAGGTCTGGTAAATAGTACACAAGCACTGGAACCCTGTATCTTGTAAAAAAAAGTAACAAAAAATAAATAGTTATAGTAAATTATCAAAATCATTGAACAAAATTCTTTAATCAGTAAAATGAAAAAAAAAAGGCATATGGATCAGTGAACAAGTGTGGCTCAGTCTTGTTAGCACATGGGAACAATCCATGTAATTTATCCAAGCGGCGCCATATGCCGCCACAACCCCGGCATCATTTGTACATGTATAAATACAATAGTCGAGTAAAGAATGTTCCACTCACATCATGTACAAAAACAATAAAGAAAAAACACTCCTTTACACAATCAATTTCTCTTGTTATAATTATTTAAATTCTATTTTTTCTCAGAGTACTACTTCCTAAATAATGTTCATGGAAAGTGTGACTAGTTTGCAGGGAATTGCATATTTACTTGTAGTTATAGACATTGTTAATAGATGTTGCCACTTTTGACATGTTTCAAAGCTTTGAAATTGGGATAAATTAGAACCAAGAAGTAGTAACAGGGAACAAAATATCTAGGTTTGTATAGCAATTTGCAAATCAAAACAACCCCAGTTGCAAATCTCTTTCCTCATTGCTTAGCATAATATGCGAATCATTCCTTTCTCTTTTATGTGTAATCGAGACCTCCCACAACACAGCAAAAGTGCTGTAAAATATCAGCTTGATATACTAAAGCCAAAGCTGATGTTCATTTCTTGGAAATTCTCACCAAATGGCACATACAGTATTTTCAAACTTTGTCATGCTCATATTGCATTCACATGCATTTTGTTAGAGTCTGTTCATGACCTTTTGAATGCTCATGAAGCCTATCCAACTAGACTACCTACGTACGGTACATGCATGAAACATTTAGCATTGAACCAGTTATGAACTCTCAATACAAGCTTTATCCCAAGGACCTACCATGTGACAGTTTTTACTTCTATATAGTTTTAATACTATAACTATCAATAAAGTATGTGTATCTTCACCAAATTTGGCAGACTTTTAGTAAAACTTACAAGTCATTTGTACACAAAAAATCATTTTTTAAATGGAGTGTTTCTACTAAAGATTTGTGTATGAATATATCAAGTCTTCTTTTGACCAGTCCGAGTGCAAAATGATTTTTTTTATGTTAAAATTAAAAATACTTTTCTTCATCTCAAAAATCTCAAATGTTATTTGCTTAATCTTTAAAACTCCTAAATATATTCAAACGTTTTATTTCAGTAAAACTTGAGATTTTGTCTGTTATTTTCTCTGTGCTATCTCTATACAAGGTTGTTCTTTTTGACTGACCTTGTAACCAGTAAAAACAAAATAAAAAATCTAAATTATCTTCTTTTTTTTCTAGAATGATTTCATTTATCCTAAGTAGCTTTAAACTTGTAACAATATACATCTATTTATACGTAAATTTTATTGTTTTATTGCCTTTTTAACTATGTCTAACTACTAGTAATAGGACTATTCATACCCTTATAACATAAGTTGTAAATGTAAATCACTTGGGAACATGCGGCTCATGTTACGCTATCAAATTACATTATCCATGGATGTGCCTTTTGAAAATTTTTTATTATATTATTATTTTTATTTATTTTACCAAATATAACCTTTAAGAGTTTCCTATTTTTACATTTTAGTTATCTTTATTACCATAAATATAGAATACACATGAAAAACAAGAAATAAAGTACTTACCTGGGTCTTCTTTTTTTGCTGACAACTGTCGATGACATTTGACCCTACTTTTTTATACTAATGGTAGTAATTCAGTAAATAATTTTTATTTAATTAAATAATGCAACAAAGAACATAAAATAATAACATGTAAAAAGCAGGTAATGTCTCATAACTATCACAAATTTTTTTGGCTTTCTAACGATGTGACAAGTGCTGATACAAATTCGTCCAAGCTAGTTAATATGTTATCTGTGGGAACGAAGCTTGTACTGAAAGAAAAATTTACATTTTTCTGTACAGAAAACAACATAATATAATAAGTCATTTTATAGATGGAAAGCTTGGCTTTCTGTTGGTTAAAAGTAATATTGTACTAAACGTAAGAGAGAACTATTGACAAATCCTGAAAGAGAGGATGTGACAGGAGGGGTCTGATTTTCTATTTGATGGCTCTGTAACCAAACAAAATTGAAGGCTATGATAATTATGCTTTACCTAAGTGATGACAATATTACAATAAGTATTTTACGTTAAATTTCATACTTGTTGGAGGGGTGGTAAATAAATTAGAGAAGAGGGGATGCCTAGAGAAAAAATGTCATTTCTCACACTAGGGGAAATTCAGGATCTTTATTTTTAATATTGCCTTATAAAATTAAGAACTTAAAACTTATATTAAAATATGGATTAATACCTATGATTTTATGCTATAGTAATTGATATAACATGAACAAACAAAAAGTTGTTAATTAATTTTTTAAGGTAACTCACTAAAATCCTTTTAAAGGCAAACAGTAAAACTGAGGCTAAATATTTTTTAACCTAGCATCTAAATGAATTGGCCTTTTACTGAATCTTGTAAAGCAGAATCTGCTCTATTTGTTGGTTATAAATAATCCAGTAAATGTCACAGAGAATTATTGACATTTTTTGAAAGACAATGAGATTTATGGGATGTGTCATGTTGGTTTGACTTTCTTGTTTATATCTTGGTAAAACAAGAAGCTTGGAGGCTATAAGTATAGATTATGACTTTGCAATATGTATAGTATAAGTATGTAACTAGTAGCATACTCAAAAGATCATCTAAGACGTAGAAAGAAAATCTAAAATGGGCAATTTGGAGCAAAGAAGTGTCACGTTATATAGAGAATTTAAGATTGAGAATTTATTTATATGTTTTCTTTTGAAATTAAGAAAGTAAAACTTGATTAATATTGAAATTTGAATTATAAATTACATTTTGATATCAAGTTTATTGACATACATTGATAATAAAGTCATCTAATTAAATTTTGAATATAACATTGTAAAAAGGTTGTGACATGCACTCTGACCTACTTGAATTAAGAGAGTTGAACTGAGACAATCAGAAATTGTATAAAAGCTTCTATGTTATACTAAGAAATGCCTTAAAAAGAGTGAAATATTTTTGTACTACATGCTAAATGTAACTGCTCTCACAGTAATTGAGTGCACCTGGTGAAACAATCTTATGGAAACACTTAAAATCTCCAGACAAGATTTTTATCATTCCGTAATAACTATAGCAACCATTGAGTTCACATATAGCTTTTAACCAGTATTTATCATAACCAGGCATTTCTGATTTTATCAACAGAAGTAACTTAAGGCAAGCCAACAAAAGATCATCAAATGTTGGATCTGTGTATACTGAAATTATTGTGAAGCAGTTGTATACAGACAACTGTCATATATTAAACAAATAGCATTAAGATATAATGGTCAAAGGTCCTTCTGTAAATTAATTTGTTAAAATATCACGGTGTTCTACAAGATTTTATTCAATTCAACACACAGTTATTTCTTTGAGATTTTCAAAAATTGATGCCTGATTGTCAGTAAAACTAGTTATCAGAAAATATTATTAAAGTATAACTTATTTCTGCTGAAACTATTTACTTCCAAAGTAATCTACTACCCTACTGTTACTGAAAACCTCTTTTTTTCAAAGTCATTCACTGTTGTTATTGGACGTCAAAAAAAAAAACTCAGCATCAAAGTAAATTACTGATGTTGAAACTGTTTACATCAAAAATAAATTGCCACACTGAGTTTTGATAGTTCCAAAGTTGTAATTTACTGTTGTTACTGAAAATTAAATTGTACAAGTAATTTGTCAATAGTACTTAAAGATTGTGTAACAGTCTTACTATTGTTAGTGGCTTCTTATGGTTTTGTAGCAGTGTATTGTTGCTAATTATATTTACCTTTAACTCTTTTCATACAGCCATATATTGTTATCATGGCATATGAATAAACTTGGCATCAAAACTTTGTTAATCTAGATTTTAATAACACGAGTTTTTAGTTCCTAATTTTAAAAGACAATATTTAACAAAATCCTGAATTTTCCCTAGTATGATAATTGTAACTTGTTCTCTAGGTATCCCCCCTTCTATCATTTATTTACCACCCCTCTGAGAAGTATGAAATTTAATGTAAATTGCTCATTATAATATTGTCATTGCTCAGGCAAAGCATAATTTTTATAAACTTCATCCTTATTTGGTTACAGAGCCATAAGCTAGAAAATTAGACCCCTCTTGCCATGCCCATCTGTCACATCCTCTCTTTCAGAAATTGCCAATTGTTCTCTCTGATGTTTAATACTATATCATTTATAACAAATAGAAAGCGAAGGTTTGAATCTGTCAAATGAAATATTATATTATGTTGTTTTCTGTACAGAGAATTGTCTATTTTGCTTCCAGTTCAAACTTTATACCCATGGAAAACACATTAACAAGTTGAGGTAAATTTTTAATGGCTCTTTTCACATAGTTAGAAAGCCAGAAAAATTGTGATTGTTATAGGACATTGTCTGATTTTTGCGTGTTATTATTCTATGCTCTTTAATTCAACAATAAGTTATTAATGCAGTAGTACCATTAGTATAAAAAGTAGAGTTAAATTTCATCGGCAGTTGACAGCAAAGAAATGGAAGATTCAGGTAAGTACTATATTTCTTGTTTTCATGCGTATTCTTTATTTATTATTATAAATGGGACTAAAATGTAAAAATTAGAAAACTTTTTAGGTTATATAAGATAAGGTAAAATATATAATAATAAATTTTCATGAGGTATGCTTACAAGTAACCTGTGCATTCTTTCATAGGATGGGACAACACTTGGTAATAACAGTAATAATGAACCAGCAAAGCGGCCTCGATCACTGACTGACCCTTTGCATATCTTTACACCTCCTTTGGGTTTATGTAACTCTCCTTCACCAACACGTGCAGGAAAGGTGAGTGTACCCATTGTCTTTAGACTTAAAAATTAATTCCACATCTAATAAAGTTCTATGGTACTTTTTTATATAAATAACAAACGTATCACAATATTAAAATGAAAAGAAAAAGATGATCAGGCTTACATGTCAAACTAGTTCCAAAATTGAGAGTGTTGCTTAACTTTCTTGCTACAAGCTTGGTCTGTCCAACCAAAAAATTACTATAGCTTCTAATATGTTTTGTGTACCCTCATAAAATTTTGCAAGCTTTCAGTAAGCATGAAGAGACATTTGTAGACAAAAAAATCAGAATTTTTAATGAAGTATTTTCAATAAAACTTTCTCTATGAATATTTGGAGTTAAAGTGTTGACAGCTCTGAGTGCAAAGTGATTTCCAATACGGTACATTACCTCTACTCACATAAATAGCTATTCTTGTTCAGTGCTGCCATCTATATGCAAAAAATTTTTTATGCATACAACAAGTCTTCTAACCTCCCTCCATTGGAATTGACTGCGTTTCTCATGCAAATCATCATGCGTCAACCCTCCACCAATAAGAGTGCGACATACTCAAATGACACATGTAACTTCCTCTATTCAATTCTACCAAACTATCACTTCTCGTTTAGCAGTACATTTGTTCAGACATTTTTTTCTTTTGGTGCTCTTTGTGTGTATTGTGATTTTAATAGTTTAATTTTTGAAGTGAGATTTCTTCATTATTATTATTTTTTCTTTACATTGAAGAAATCTTTTAATTTAACTTAACTTACATCAAACACTTTTGTTTAATTTATGCATTTCTACAATGAATTCTGAGATTCATGTTCCCACTTTGGGTGTTATACCTCCAGCATTATTTTCAGAGGCTGCAGGTGGGAGAGACCAGTCGTTGGATTTCTCTGCTGTTATCTATCATGAGATTGATTGTTATATGGGTCAACCTTCTTCTCCTGAACTTGTCCCACTAATCCTCCTGAACAAGCCGAACCTGTTCGGGCTGATAAAGATTTAATAACCTTTTTACAAACACCACCGGATTTTGCCATGTTTTTCCTTACCCCTCCTGCAAAATCGCTAGGCCTTATGTGGCATTTTTCAACATGATTTCTCAGGTATGTTATGTTTTATCCAATTCCCCATTTTTCAATGATTTTTTTATTACCTCCATGTTGGCTCATTTGTTGTCTTCAGCTCTCGCTTTACACAGGTGGTTTCACTGTAGTTGGGATTTTCTGGGTCACGTTGCGACCTTTTCCCGCATTTGCTGCCTTTTTATTTGGTGATATTTTCTGTCATGTATCTGAGATTTTGAAATCTTGTGTGTAATCTGTGCATCAACCCTTTCCTCTTTGGTTGCATGTTTGTCACAGTTGAAGCCACGAAACTCCCCTATTCCTTCCTGTTCTGGTCCTTTCTGCCCATCATTGTCCCCTTCCAGGGGTTTTTCATGTTGTTGTTTTATTCAACTTTGATGGGCATGTTGCCAACTGTACCAGAGGGTTCCAGTTCAGTGGGAGCTTGACTATATTATATTGTTACCCTTTGGGATCTTTCACTATGGTTCCATGGGTTCTTTGGGTTTTATCAGAGGGACTTGTCCTACTATTTCTTTCCCCACCTCCTTTGTCCTTGGTACCCTTTTCCTTCCTCATGACTTTGGATCCTGCCACCAGCCTGCGACTATTCGAGGTACAAGATTTTCTGTCTCTACGGGCCGTTGCACCTGTTCATCATCTTTCTCCAGGCTTTTATTCCAGGCTGTTTGTTGTCCTTGTGCAAAACCAGAGACTGGCAGTCTGTATTAGGTTTGTCCCACCTTATTCTCATTTTCAATATGCCTCGTTTTACCTTGAAGTCCTTTCTCACCCTTAGATGGGCTTTTTCTCCAAGTTCATCGATTTTACCTATTTCTTTGGTCGACTGACTACTGTTTGCTTGTTCTGAACAGTAGTCCCTCTGTCATCCTTATCAGCTGCTCCTGGAGGCAGGTATAACAGTCTGTTCACTCTTTCAATACGGGGTTGGTCAATGTGACGACCTCGTAACCATTTTGTGCTTGTTATAGTTTTCATGCTATAACTTTTAAATTTGGCAGATTATCAGTAAACATTACAATGCATTCCTACCCAAAATATCAAATTTTCTTTAAATAAGTCTATGTTTGTAGAGCAATGTTTTTGTCGTCTTTTTTTTTTCTTTTTGCATGTTGCTTATCTATTATGCAAAGTAATGTTCATTTTAAGATTAAAAATACTTTTGTGCATAAGAAAATTTTG